CAGAATCATTGCTCCTGAGTGCTGCATAGTCTTCCGTCGTGTGAATGTGCTATAATTTCTCAATCTATTCATTTGTGGTTGGACATTTGGGCTGTTTCCATTTTCTTGTGATGGTGGTGTACAAATCTCTGTTTGTACCTCAGTTCTTATATTCTCAGGGTATATTCCAAGTAGTGGAAATGCTGGGTCATATGGAATTTCTATGTTCAGCATTTTGAGGAAGCTCCAAACTGCCTTCCAGAGTGCTTGTATGGTGTGATATCCTTTTTTAAAAAGAGGTTTTATTGATTTTCATATAATAATACCTCTACAGTATATTTCATTCATAGATATTGTTTTGTACAATCTTTCATTTACATGGCATTTCTTAGAATCATTCATATATATTCTATTTTATACTAGTTTATTCACTAAATTTGAATACATTATTTTTTCACAACAGATCCTTCCCATTTCCCTCACCCCCACCCCATCAAATAATATGACCCCAGAATTAGTACACCATCCCCCTCCACACACATCCTCATCTCTCAGCTTCCATCCTCACCCTGCCCCTTGGATCCTCATACTCATTCTACAGTGATGGTTTTATACAGTATTTGTCCTTATAGGACTGATTTAGTTTACTCAGCATAATGGTTTGAAACCCTTTTGCTGTTTTTTTTTTTTAATTTCTTTTTAAAGCATTGCCAGTTTCACTTGATGAAATTATGTTTCAGTAACTTCCTTTCCTTTTTAATATTGTGCACTGGTAGGGAATTTTATACCAATAAGTCCCTTTATCAAATATTAATCAATCCTTGTGGTGATCGTATGGGGGACGGACTAGTGTGTTGCCATTTTACTGTTTAGAATAATACCAAAGCTAAAGTGAGACTCACCAAGTTAACTGGCTGTCCTTCCTAGACCATTGTTCCTGCTGAGAACAGAATTGAGGCAGCAGATGTCTAACAGAAAGTGGAAAGGGGGAGAAGCTTAAGGGAAGAAGACTTAAAGTGGCCCTAGCGTAACAAACCTCACTGCCATCATGACAGAACCAACCCTTACCTGACCTTCCAGTGGGTTTCTGAGGCTGTAAATTGCATGGAAGAGATTGCCCATCTGTAGCCTGAGGAGCCACAGGAGATCTGAACCCCCAGAGAAGTGTGCTTGTTGGGTTAGCGGACAGCGCCCTTCAGACTTTGCCACCAGTGCCCAACTAATCTAAAAGGAAACGTATTTCCAAAAGCATTTTCAAAAACTTGGGTAGTAAAGAAAAACAATGAAAATGTCTGGCTGCTAGTAGAATAGTTGGAAATTCAGATTATCCAGGAACACCTGGGGGGGGGGGTTGTGATCTATTTTTTTAAAAAGCCACCAAAAAACACAACCCAGGTACTGATACTGTAAGGAGCACAGTTACCCTCTGCCACACAGGTCAGCATGCGTCAGAGTGGACACCATCGAACCAAAACCCAAGGCTACTACCACCAAGTGGATCTAATCCAGCAGCCTACAGGAAGAGTGGAACTGTCCCTCAGGGTTTCGGATGCTGTAAATATTTCCGGGGTTTTTCTGTCACAAAGTGGACAGTGGTTCTGAACTGCTGATCCCTAAACTGTTAGCCGTCCAAGGCTAACAGGGCCACAAATCTTCTCTGGCAAACTCCTGCTGAGTTGTGTTGGGTTTGTATTTTTTTAAACCCATGATTGCGTTTCCTCCATGCGGCCACTAGATGGTGGTGTTTCCATTTTCTGGAAGCTGTGGGTAAGAAATTCTGAGGTCTTTGTCAAGCCCACCCTAAATAGTTAAGGAGTTCCACTACCACACAAGACACAAAGGTGGTGCAACTTTGGACCCTTTGGATCCACCGACTGCTTCGCGGAAGAAAGCTGGGAAAATTCCTCCCATGCAAGTTACAGTCTCTGAAAACCCACTAGAGGGTCAGTTCTGAGTTGCTTCCAACTCAGTGGCAAAGTTGTGTTCTCATGGATGCTACGTCCTGGCCTAGGTGACCAACCTGGACCCTCAGATGTCTGTCTCTTCAGGAAGGTGGGAGCTAAAATCCCATTGCTCTAACACGTCAGTGAACAATATGCTTCTTTACTACTATTTGGTATCAAATGGAAAAGCACAGAAATATACTGAAACTATTAATATAAATTCTCTTAGGTGTCCAAGGAGGTCAATGAAATGACAGTAAAGATGCCGTATCAGTGCTTCATAAATGGAGAGTTCACAGATGCTGAGGATGGAAAGACTTACGACACCATCAACCCAGCGGACGGATCTGTGAGTCATTCCCTCGTGTGTCTAGTGTGTCTCTGGTTATGGATTTTCAGTTCTCCATGGTTGTAAATCAGGCAGTCTTGAGAAGTTAATTACTCTGTCATCTCGCTTTCAAGCCCTTAATATGAATGTATTCTGGAATTTCTTTTTTTTAAATTTTTTTCTTTCTTCCAACTATTTAATTTTACAACTTGTCATTTTCTGTTAGACATAAAGTCATCATGAGATGAAGTTTTCTCTACCAAAACTAACCATAACAAAGTACTACAATATCTACATATAAGTGTCTTCTGAGATGTGTCCTTTCATATGTAGTATATATAACATGACAGGTATGAAATTTCAGGCTTATAATTTCCATGCTTAAATTCTTTCTTTTGACACTGAATCAAAGGGACATTCTGCTAAGTAGAATATATCAGTCATTAGTTCTGGTGGCCTAGTGACAAGAAGCTGCACTGCAATCCCAAAGGCATGTGGTTCGAGGCCACCAGCTGCTCCATGGGAGAAGGATGGACAATCTCCTCCCCTGCGATTAATTGCCTCTGAAAACCTGCCAAAGGGTCAGCTATCTATGGTACACAACAACAACAATAACAAAGGACAAATATTGTATGTGACCACTATTATTAAAAAAAAAGGAAATATTTATACTCCGAATCATTCTTGGATGGTTACCACGGAAGAGGAGGAAAGGGAAGTAAAAATTGGTAAATTGATGATGTATTGTTGTGTACTGTGGAGTTAGAAGAGGCTCACAGCTGACCCTCCAGTGGTTTTCAGAGGCTGGTAATGGCACAGGAGGAGACTGCCCATCTTTCTCCCATGGAGCAGCTGGTGGATTCAAACTGCATGCCGCTGGGTTGGCAGCGCAACTCCTTATCACAAAGCTACCAGAGCTCCCTTAGATAATAGTCACATGTTAAGATGGGCGAAGGGAAAGGCAATATCCAGTAAGGGGATAATCAGTAAATACCACTAAAGGAAGGGGAACTGAGAGATACGGAAGGATCCATGGAAATCAGTATTAGAGGGAGGTAGAGGAAAAAGTGTGCTGACATTGTGTGGATTGAAATCAATGAACAAATTATGGATGAATAGTTGAATGAAAAATTATTCTTCTTTGTAAACCTTCACTCAAATCACAGTTTAAAATGAATTTTCAAAAATAAAATTCCCTTTTCCCCTGTACTCTATTATTGTTGTTGGTAGGTACCTTGAAGTCTAATATGACCCATAGCGCCCCTATGAACAACAGACCTGAACCCTGTCCTATCCTGTGCTGTCCTCACAATCTCTGACACGCTGGAGCCCATGGCTGCAGTCATTACTTCAGTCCATCTGCTTGAGGGACTTCCTCTCCTCCTCCATCCCTTCACCTTTCCAAGCATCGGTGTTACTAGATGCATTCATTCATTCTCTGTCATAAGAACTTAAATTTTATACATAAGACTGTATTCCCCCCCATGTTGTTATTTACCAACAAGTGGAAAGCAACCGACCCATAGCTGACCCTCCAACAGATTTTCAGAGGCAGTTAATTGCAGAGGTGGCCCATCCTTCTCCTGCAGAGTAAGCTGGTGGAATCTTGCTTATTTCTTGTGCCACCTGTTTGCTTATCTTGAAACAGACGATCTGCAAAGTATCCTATGCTTCTTTGGCGGATGTTGACAAAGCAGTAGCAGCAGCAAAAGATGCTTTTGAGAATGGTGAATGGGGGCGAATGAATGCAAGAGAAAGAGGAAGACTCATGTACAGGTGTGCTTTTTTTATGTATTTTTTAAGGCATATTTATTTTTTAATCTTCATCCTGGAGAGGGTTCAGTCAGGCTGCTCCTTGGAGGCAAGGATTCTGAGGCTCTGTCTGACATACTTTGGACATGTTGTAAGGAGGTCCTTGGAGAGAGACATCATGCTTGGGAGGGTGGTGGGACGGTGCAGGAGAGGAAGATCCTCTATGAGGTGGATTGACTCAGTGACTGGGGTAATGGGGGTAATGTGTTGGAGACAGTGAGATTGGCACAGGACAGAGCAGGGTTTAGGGCTGTTGTACATCGAGTTGCTATGAGTCACAAGTGACTCAACAATACATAATAACAATAAGGCATAACTGTTCCCTTTGTAGGCGTTTGTTGGCACGATGCATCACACATCATGCTGCTGACTGAAAAGTGAGTGGATCAAATCCCTCATAAAGATTTACAGCCTTGAGGACCCTGCGGAGGGTCCACATTGGTCCAAGTCGACCCAATAGCAATGGGTTTTTGGTATGGTTGCCTTTGCATACTGGCTAATATTGCTGAAACTGTGGCAATTTCTTTAAAACACTCTAACATGGGCCTTTTATAAAATGTCTTGTGACTTGTATGGCATAAAATCTCATATTTCTGATTAGTTGTTTTATTGTTTATATTAGTTAGGGCCTGGGTAGGAAGAGAGATTTACTGAAGAGACTGTTTACAAAGATGGTGGCAGGACCAAATGAATCCAAGAGGACATCCGGAAGCACTCCGTGGAGGGTAGAAACTGTGGCCACTCCAAAGTCTCAGGAGACAAAGAGAATATTACTGAAACCGGGCACTGTCTGTGCCAGGAGACGACCACATAGGCTGTGGTTTTTGCTAGACTTTAGCAGCTGCTAAACCACAGGGGAGCCAGGGACGTTGAATTTCCCAGCACTTTCTCCTCTGGCTCGCTCAGCTCCTGCAGGTGCCTCCCATGGGCCTAACCCAGCCAGAGAGCAAGGGAGCCAGGGCATGGAGTCTGTTCAGGTGCCATCCTCCTGAGCTGCAGAGCAAGGCAGAGAAGGGACACAGTGCCCATAGGGAATCCCTATCCCGCTGTTGCTTGCAAAGACACATTTTAAATCTACTTGATGGGCAGTGAGGAGGCACAATAAGGGGAACACTAAAGGCTGGGGAAGGTTTTAGAAATAGCTAAGTATACTAAGTTGTTAGATCCAGCCTCAAACCCAGTTTCTACTTACCTAAAGACAAATATCTGACCTTGGTCAAAAGATCTTGGAGCAGGACCTGGGAGAAACACTGGAGAGGGACATTTCAAACCAGTGTGGGCCACTAGAAGAAGAGAGGAAGGAAAGTTAATGGAGGAGATAAGTGTTAATGAGGATATTTTCTTTCATTGTTGTTGTTGATTGCCTTTGAGTCGAACATGATTCAGAGTGACCCTATGAACAAAAGGCCTGAAGCCCCCCTACAACTATCGACATTTATCAAAGTTCATAGAGTTTCCGGAGGCAAGTTGTTTAGGAAGTGGATGCCACTCCTGCTTCCAAATCTGTCATAGTATGTTATTGTTGTTATTATGTGCCATTGAGTTGCCTGTGATGTATAATGATGTATAGCAGCTCTGAACCCTTCCCTGTCCTGAGCCAGTCTCACCAACTCCAACACACCAACCCCATCGTCCCAGTTACTGTGTCAATCTCTCTCATCCAGGGTCTTCCTTTCCTGCTCTGTCTGTCTACTCATCTCTACTGGCCATGTGACCAAAGTGGTCTTGAATATTTATCCAGTCTGGCATTTACCTTCCCATGGAAACTGGACACCGGGGGGATCTACTCCTGAGAATGTCCTCAAGTCTAATTAAGTCTTTAAATCCAAGCAAGTGTGTGTGGTTCTTATCTAACCATACTTTAATGCTGAAAATGGGCTATGAGACTTGTTGGTGATTTTAAAACATAAGTAACAGAAGATGATTGTGGACACTAGTGGGATCAACTCCTGAGAATGTCCTCACATCTAATTAAGTCTTTAAATCCAAGCGAGTGTGTGTGGTTCTTTTCTAGCCATAATTTAATGCCAAAAATGGGCTATGAGACTTGTTGGTGATTTTAACACATAAGCTAAAGAAGGTGATTGTGATAAAGAGTGTGTTGTCACGAAGTGTTGAATCAGTCATTTCAAAGTGAAGGCAGATTTACATGATATTAAAGGTCATGGTGGTGGTGGTGGTTGTTAAGTGCCATCAAGTCAACTCTGAATCACAGAAACCCTGTGAACACAGAGCTGAACCCAGGCCTGCCTGCACCATCCTCATCATCTCTGAAATGGTTGAGCCCACTGCTACGGTCACTGTGTCAGTCCATCTTAGTGAGAGTCTTCCTCTCTTTCTCTGACCTGCCACCTTGCCCAGCATAATGTCCTTTTACAAAGAAAGGGCCTTCCTGACAACAAGCCCACAGTGAGATGAAGTTTCCCTGTCCTCGCCTCTAAGGAGGACCCTGGTTGCACCTCCTCCAAGGCAGATTTGTTTGTTCTTTTGCCAGTCCACAGGATATCCAGTCCTCTCCTCTAATACCACTACACAGTGTTCTTCTTCTGTCACGTCTATTCGCTGTGCAGCTTTCAGATACATAGGAAGTGATGGAAAAGAGTGACTCAGATGCACTTGCGTCTCATTTTCTTAAAAGAAGGGTGGGGGGCATGGAGGAGTTATGTGTAAGGAAGATATTCCAACCCAGAGACTGATTATATTCATGAATTTAGTTAATGTCCCTAAAAACCAACTCAAACTCATTGTCATTGATTTGGAACTGACTCGCAGCTGACCCTCCACCGAGCTTTCGAGGCTGCCAGTTCCATAGAGAGATGGCCCATTTCCCCTCAAGATGTGGCTGGTGCATTAGTTAGAACAGCCCAGAGGTGTGTGATTTGGGTTAGCATTGCATCTCCCTAAGGACTCCACCACCAGAACTCTGCACCACAGTGTCCGTCCACAGTGTCCGTGAGGGCAGAGAGCCCACCTGTGTTTACCTCTGAAGCCTGAGCTCTGAGGATAGTGCCTCCCAAGTAATAGGGACTCACTCAACATCTGCTGACTGAATCTCTCCGGCCTTCCAGACTTGCAGACCTGTTGGAAGAGAACCAAGAAGAACTGGCCACTATTGAAGCCCTTGATTCAGGGGCTGTCTACACTTTGGCTCTGAAGACTCATATTGGCATGTCTGTGCAAACATTCAGATATTTTGCTGGCTGGTGTGACAAAATTCAGGTGAGCACAAACGCTGTCCCACATATAAATGTTCCCCTATCTGTACAAAAGGAAAAGGGACAAACACGTTATTAATTTATCCACTTTGTCAGAGCGGCCTCTTTTATAGGTTTTCCCCTCTAGCCCCTCTAACAACCTTGTGAGGTGATTGGATGTAGATTATTAGCTCCTTATTAAAAGTAAAAACATTGACATTTGAGGCTAATGAATAATGTACTGACATAGCAGTAAACCATAGAGGCAGCACTGAAATCCAACATTTTCTGAACTGAAGGCTTACTGTTCTTCTTTATATTTTGCCATGAAGTCTCCTTAGCCCATGAGGTAGTCCAGTGTTATGTAGGGATTGCACACTCAGATGCTTAGGCCAGAGAACTAACGTGGGCAGGCTGGGTATAAGAACAGTTTTTATAAAGACACAAGTACAAGAAATGTTTTCTTTTCATTTTCATTTTTAAAAAATAATGCATGTGTATTGATAAATAGGAACAACACATGGCTCAGCATGAAGATTACAAAAGAGAAAGATAGAAAAGAAAAAAGAGAGAACGATAGAGCATGTGGCCAATGGCAGAATGTGTGTTACTCATAGACTCACGATAAGTACTGCTGCACCACCCATCACAGCAAGCTCCCAGCGGGGGGAAATGGGGTGCAGGGGAAAGGCATTCCCACTCTCCCAGTGTCTCATGTTTGCTCCTCCCATTGGTCAGCTCTACCTCCTAGGGAAAAGGGGGGGCAGCGGCGTAGGAACAGCAGTCCCTGATTACAAATAAGATCCGCTTCTAACTGTGCCCTTACAAATGTATAAGATAAGCCTGAACAAGTACATATGGTTCTTGTTTGTCTTACTTTAGTGCAAGAAAATACTCCAGACCTTTTCAGTGCTTTAAAATCCGCACATGCAGCAGGTAGAGACACTGTACTGAGGATTTTGTTTCCACTGGGAGTTGGTTCCGTTGTCTCAAAGTGAGGGCAAATTAATATAACTTTAAAAGGCAAGTGAGCCTTGTCCACGAGCAAGACCTTCACAACCCTAGGATTGTCTGTACTTTCTCTGGCCACGTTGCTGCCACCAGTATTAATTCAGCACAGTGATAGCTGGTGTCTTAGTTTCCTGGGGCTGTCATAACAAACATACCAAGAAACGGATGGTTTAAAAAAGAGAAATGTCTTTTGTCACAGTTCTGGAGGCTCAGGGTCCAAATCAGGGTCTTCCGTGTTGAGTCCTTGTGGGAGCATTGAGAGACACGGGGGGCTTGCTTCCAGTTGATGGTGGGTGCTGGCATTCCGTGGCCTGGACATAGATCCTAACGTGGTACATTGTGTGTACCTCTGCTTCTGTGTAGGTCCTTCTCTTTTATAAATCGCCACTCAGAAGAGTTTAGGAAGGAAAAGCATGTATCCTGCTCCAGAATATCTTGGTTAACTTAACTGATAATCTCTGTGAAAGAAAAATTTTCTTTCCAGAACAAGGTCACATTCACCAGTGCAAGGAGTAGGGCTGCAATATCATGTTTTGGAGGCTGCAACTCATTCTGATGCTGCCAAGCTTCAAGGCTGAGCTTTGTGGATTATCGGCTAACATGGTTCAGATGTTTTACTTTTTTTTGAGCCTACTACCTTCATTGGTAAAATTGTCACAATAATGTATACCATGTAAGTTACAGTATAGGATGAGAAGTCTATGTTTATATTAGAGGATTAATGAAGTCTGCAATATAGGAAGCCTTGCACATATATATATAATTGTTCTTATTATTCACACATCCAAAAATTGTTCGTCTATAGATGTTTCACAATGATTCAATTCCATTCCTTGTCTTCAATTATGAAACCCAAAGAGCTCTGAAAGGTGAAAATTGTTTTGTTTGATTGACTCAAGCTCATTTGGTGCCCAAACCTGATCTGAACCAACGTGAGACTATTTGTAATTTTTACTTATGTCCACTTGAGTACATGCTTATATTTTACTGAATACATATTAATGTGTTTGATTATGGAAGGCTGCCCCAGATCATACTTGGGTATGCATGTTGTTGTTGTTAGGTGCCGTTAAGTCGTAGATGAGTCATAGCAACCCTATGAACGATAGGCCTGAGCACTGTTCATAGTTTTCGGAGGCAAGCCATTCAGAAGTGGATGCCACTCCTGCTTCCAGGCTTGTTTTAATCAGGAAGCTCGAGCAAACACTGTCCACCATGGGTAAACCATTATCATATTTGGCACATCAGTGTCACAGTGTTTAGTATCACAACAACCACAAGTTATCTCTGTACAGCAATGCACAGACCAGTGCTATACCACCTTGGGCTTGGTAGCATAGTATATGATTAATGTAAAGTATGTATACTTTGTTTTTTTTAAATGAAAAAAAATCCTAGACATTCTGAATCCCAGCACACACCTGGTTTCAGACAACAAGATGTCACTCGTATGATTAATAAACCAAAGGCAAACCCACTGTCCAGACCAATGCTAAGAGCAACGCTAAGGACAGAGACGAGCTTCTGCGTATGTTTTCCAAGGCTGGGACTATTTGCAGATGTCGATGGTCATGTTGTTTTACCTCAGAGCAACCAGTGGGCTCAGCCTCCCAGCCTCCCAGTTAGCGGCAAAGTCCGTGGTCACTGTGTCATGGGAGCTCCTTGTATTAGAAATAGCAATACTATGTTATGTAGCAACGCAAAAACTGGCTACCGTTGAAGATTACCATGCTGTTGTACACCATCGAGTCAGAACCAGCCCGTAGCAGACCCTCCAGTGGGTTTTCAGAGGCAGTTTAATTGCACAGGATTGTCCATCCTTCTCCCATGGAGCAGCTGGTGGCTTTGAACTGCATACCTTCGGAATTGCAGCGCAGCTTCTTGCCACTATAGGCCACCAGAGAGCCACAGCACAGCATATTGCTGCTCTTGTTAGGTCATTGAGTTGACCACACTTCATGGCAGCACTGTGAGCAGCAGACCTGAACCCGGCCGTGTCCTGCACCATCCTCTTTAAGCCTGATTGACTCTAGCCCGTTGCCCCAGCCAGCCACCATGTCAGTCTGTCTCATAGCGTGTCTTGGTCTCTCTTGTTCTCCCTCCACCCTTCTGACCGTGATGTCTTTTTCCAAGGACTGACCTTACTTAGCAACATGCCCCGAGTATGTGAGGCAGAGTCTTATCATCCTTCCCTCCAAAGAGCATCTGGCTGCACCGTCTCTAGCACACCGTTGTTCTTTTGGCAATCCATGGGCTATTCAGTACTCTTCTCCAACACCACCACTCAAAGGCACAGATTCTTCTACTGCCCCCCTTAGTCAGTGTCCAGCTTTCAGATGCGTAAGAAGTAATTGTGAAATCAGGCAGATTTTGTTATTGTTGTTGTCATTGTTATGTGTCATGGGGTTGCAATCAGCGCATACTGACCACCCCCCAGCAGGTGTTCTTTAAAAAGGATTAAACAGGGGTACATATAACAGGGAACTCTGGTGGTCTAGTCTGTAGGGTGTTGTGCTGCTAACTCAAACGCAGCACAACTCTAGCAGATCAAATCCACTCGTGGCTCCAAGGAGGAAGCTGGATGTCTCCTCCCATGCACTTTGCAGCTTCTGAAAACACACTGGGTACTCAGTTATGAGTTGGTTCAACTTGTAAGGCAATGAGTTTGAGGTCTTTGGGATTTTTTTCTTTAGTATAACAGAAAACTCAAATACCTTTCTTTTTTCCTACTGGGTTCAAGGATTCCAAAGGCAGGCAGTTGGGGTTGTCGTGTGGATGAAAGCTCTTTATCTTTCTGTTTTGCCATCCTAAAGACACATGACCTCCACCTTGAAGGCTGTCTCGTGGTCATTCGCTCCAGTGCCTTGTGGTGACATCCTGCCTGGGCCATACCTGTCTGCTAGATCAAGAGCAGATAGAACATAGGGAAGTGTGCTGCTGACACAAAGGCCGTGCCTCTGGGGGTTCAAATCCACCAGCCGCTCTCCTGGAGAGAGAGGAACAATCTCCTGTCATGAGCTATATAAGCTCAGAAGCTCAATGGACGATCAGCTAGGAGTTTGTTCCAACTTGACATTGATGATTTTTATAGTCTTCTAGAGAAATTGTGAAATGTAGTATTATATCGGAGCACTTTCTGCCCCAGTGTTAACACAGAGGTTCTGTTACTCAAGACAGGACAGAATGGATATTGGACAAGCAATTTGCTTTCCCCTGACCATGCCAAGAGATTAGAAATGGAGGGTGGCTAAATTGGGATTATGTTGATTCTCTCGTGTCCTACAGTTCTTTCCAGAAAGATGACTGTTCCTTTTTGGTATAGATGCGTTTCTTATAGGAGCCCTTGTGGCCCTGTGGTTAACGCACACAGCTGCCAACCAAAAGGTCAGTGATTTATACCCACTGGTAGGTCTGCGCCTGTGAAAATGCACACCCTTGGGAACCCAACAGAGCAGCTCTACTCCGTCCTACTATGTTGCAGAGTCAGGATCAACAGAACGCTGCCTTTTCATATCAACTAAGGATTAAACAATATCGCAGAACAGTAAATGGATTCTTTCTTTGAGAAACTGATCCAAATGAATAAAAGAAATATCAACCTTTTTTATGCTTCAGGGTTCTACAATTCCAATTAACCAAGCCCGTCCAAATCGCAACCTGACCTTCACCAAGAAGGAGCCACTCGGGTAAGACGGGCGGGGTGCCGTGGAGACTTGTGTGTGTGATGTTGATTTGAGATGACTAAGGCGGACCTCTTTCTTCCTCTGCAGGGTCTGTGCCATCATCATCCCCTGGAATTACCCGCTCATGATGCTGGCCTGGAAGAGTGCTGCGTGTCTGGCAGCAGGCAACACCTTAGTGCTCAAGCCAGCGCAGGTAGAGTCCCACAGGACCCCTGCAGATCCACCTCTGCACCCGTGACCAGACATCCATCGCTGTGGCTTCAGTGTAGTGCACTTTGCAGTACTGTGTTTTACAAGTTGATGGAGCTCTGACGATGTAGTTTATAGGAAGTTGTGCCGCTAACCCAAAGGCCACATCTCTCTGGCACTCTGAAAGCATCAACAGCTCCGAAGGAGATAGATGGGCAATCTCTTCTCATACAACATCTAACGTTGGAAGCCCACTGAAACGTCAGCTATGGATCAGTTTTGACTCCGTGGCAGTGAGTTTTGAAACTGCATTTGCATGGATAGTCCATAATTGAAAATGTCCATAACAATGAATATAAACACATTTTACTTCAGTAAACTAGATGGCATTTCTCCAAAATAACTGAATTCTTGCACAATGTCAAATGTCCAACAGACAGATTTTGTTTAGACATTATTTAGAGTAAATATGAGACGCCCTAAGAGAAAGTATTATGTAGGCAAATTTTAATTATCAAGACTATTATAAAAATAGGGAAGAAGAATGAAGAGGATGCAAACACATTAGTAAAATAGTAGCAACTCTGTAAAATGTATGCAAGTAGATAACAAGGAAATAACTTAAAAATTATTCAGATGGTCTTGAGAATGCTATTGAATTGATAACAATTCATAGTCATGCTTTGTATTCAGATGGTACATTTCTCAAAAAGGAGGGAGGGAAGCTTTTCATCTCACATTAGCTTTTTAGTGAAAAACTATATGGCACTGTAATGATGATTGGATGTTTCCCACGTACAGGGCACTGGCGTAAGCATCCTGTGGT